GTACACTTAACTGGTGGGAAAAAAGCGCTACACTGATTGGGTTAATATTAATATTTCAGGATTATTATCATATTTATATTTGGATCTTTTCCTCTTTTTGCTTCTTTACATTAAGCAATACATTTTGACACTGATATTCACTGATCATTTATTAAGAATAAGTAGACAAATTGTGTTGTTAATAAATTTCAAATGAATTTTGTCAACATTTCTCTGGCACAGTAAATGCTTACTGTGTTTGTAATTTACAAGTTTAGGATAATTATTATGTATATAAATAAACTACAGATTGAATTGACATCTTACAAAGCAGTCTCTTAATCCTAATCCTACAACTTGTAGCCATTAGCTATTTTACAATTGCTGCCGATTATTAATAATGCATTATAAATATTAAAACTTGAATGTTAACAACACATGTGAAATTATACAAGATACAAATTGCAGTACATTTAAGTTTTTCAATGTTTAATTATTTTATACTTACAGATGGATCTCAGCACATTCATAATGAAAGCTCAATGTGAATGCCTCAACGAATCTGACGAGCACTTCTTTGCTCATTGCTTGACATCTGAAGATGGATATTTAGAGAGTGATTGTGATGAACAGTTGATCATGTCAATCACTTTTATGCAAGCTGTGAAGGTTCATTCTTTGAAAATTAAGGCGCCTGTGGATAAGGGACCAAAGACATTAAAACTCTTCATTAATCAGCCAAGAACTATTGATTTTGATATGGCTGGATCGAATACCAGTATACAAGATATCACGTAAGCTATATTAAGTTGAACTTGTGTTGTAATAATTTGATTTATAAGATTTTTGGCACCTAACTTAGTTTTGTTGGTTCCGCAGTGTCTCTAGAAAGGATCTCGAAGAAGGAAATCCAATTCCACTACGCTATGTGAAATTCCAGAATGTTCAAAATCTTCAGATTTTTGTAAAAGACAATCAAAGTAATAGTGAAACTACACGGATCGATCATTTAACGATTATTGGTTCTCCAATATCCACAACAAACATGGGAGAATTCAAAAGGGTAGTAGGCAAAAAGGGAGAGAGCCACTAATAGTCATTGAACAGCTTTCAATGGAATTTCTACTAAGTGCTAATAATCCTCTACTGAAAAATGCATCATCTGGTTATTGCAAAGATTTGCTCGTAAATTTTGGTGAACTTTTTCCGTACGTTATACAATGTACGAGATCTATGAATTTCTTGATTTGTACTCAATTCTACATCTTTCGATTCATTTAATGATATACGAATGGAGTATTTACTTGCGTTTAATAAACTCATTATTGGTGCGCAATGAAACTCGTACTTTTTTCCATTAGATATAATTCATAAATATAAATTATTTCGCTTAAAAGTTGGAAATATTTTTGCTTCCTACCCTTGAGTATTACGGACATGTTTTCATGTCCTATGAAAAAAAAAACTAATTTCTACTACTACAATTTGAACGAAACTGCGTATCCCTATATTTTTGGGGGGGGTTGCTGAAATGAAATTTGAGATGAAAATCCTCCACCAACTCATGGTGACCGGGAATACAAAAAATGTTCGACATCTATGAAAGTTCATTGTTGAGTGTTTTTATAGTCTCTACCGATCCCGGTATACATTCTACAGCCATCTTTAATTTGAAATTTACCCCTGTCTCAAGTGCGTGGAAGCTAGCGCTTTCCCAGAGTTTGAATCCCCTCAGCCGTTCCCTGGAAGTTCGGTCTCTCTCTTCGACTTCGTTTAGTTTCTACAATCTATTTGAACCGTTTTGCTATTTTTCCCGCTTTTTGGATATTTTTCCTTCCAAGTTACTTTCCAACTGTTTTTACAATTAATTTTCAATTTCGTAATAAATATATTAACTATTAAGCATAGGGTAGTGATGTATAGTGGAAGATGTAAGTTAATTACACAGTGAATACTTTCGGGAACTGTATTGGGAGCGTTGGATCGCTCTTTTTTCTCTTTTCTGGCCGCTCACAGAAAGTGTGAAGGACCAGTCTGCAACCACCAGATAGAAGAATGAACATTCTTTATATACGCAGGATGCCACCAGAACCAATTCAAATCAGGGTAATCTTCTTCTTGGTCTTGAGTTCCTTGTGTGCGCGTGCAAACTTCCTTATTTTACCTGTAACAAAGATCTTTTTTATATCCTTCGTCTAAATGTCCTGTGTAAGAATATTATTGTTCTCCATCTAGGCCGATCCCTGCTAAGTTGTTCGGGAGGTGCGAAACGCTACCGGGGATACCATTTGTCCAAACGGAAATCTTTCATCTTGGTCCTCGGACGGAAAAAATACTATAACTTGCGCGTTTGTTCTCGTATGGCCACTAATGCAAATCCATTATCCTGGGATAGAGCAAACGATGACCTGCTGCGACCTCTTGAAGGTATCCGTTCACAAATAGATGTCGGCTTTATTTCTTTCTTGGATCAAGAGGCGGTATTAGTAGCTCGGACCTCGCCCGATTACGGTCCACACTGCAGAGGCAAGAGGCATCTGGATCTCGATGATTCGGGATACTCTCTCTCTCTCCCAGTAAAATATTTCATAGTGGACTGGTTGATCCATTGGACACACCTTATCAGAAAAATTTTCCTGCTTCTTGCGTTCCTCCATTTGTCATTCTTCTGTGACACAAAGGTAGGTCTAAGAATACCGTGAGATATCGTGTGATTACATTGGGCTCCAGACTTCGTAAGTTTGAGTACTTGAGTAAGATTGCAAGTCCCAGTAAGGCTACGGTCAAAATCACCTTAGCATACAGGGACGAGGCTAATAACCGGCTCTCGACAATTCAGGACATCGATCCAAATTGGATTTCCTTCATTCTTGAGTAGAGGGTAACGCGTACCAGGTTAATTAGGGATGTCGACCCGGAACTACTCAGCCTCGTTGGCACTGGCTCTTAATTCAAACGTGGACAATCCCAAAGTAATTTACATGGATAGGCTTTTTTCCTATAAAGGAAGCACTGACAAAGATAAAGAAAAGATGAAAGCCCCGCTTCCCCTTATTAAAATTATTTTTTTTGGGAGATTCGCTACCAGAATCGATCAGCTGCTGGTCCTACGATTGTCCAATCGTTCCATTCATTCCGCCAGTACATAGGTATTTTAATTTTTAAAGATTTAGCCACATAGCTGCGCTGTGTACGGGCTCCACCAGATGTTCCAGGTGTTCCGAGGATCATTGTGCGAGAGATTGTACCTCTAATCTTTTTAGGTGTCGAAATTGCCTGGGACCACATAGGGTCTCGGACTTGAGCTATCCCTCATTTATCCTAGAAAAAAGAATTAAGAAGTACACTGCGGGACATTAATGCCGTTCTTGGGTGGAGCTGTAGGAAGCGTGAGTGAGGCGGCCGGCAGTGGCGACTGGTGGCGAGCAAGCCATGCCGATGTGTAGACGGGGTAGCCTATTCCCCTCGCTCGGGACACCATTTATATCCCAAGTCCAGGCGTCCCGTATAAAAGTGTCTCACAGAATTTCAACATGTGTCCGCATAAGACCCTCTCACTCGCAGTTAGTGGAGTCCCAGAGATAGCCTGCACTGCGTATAAGAGCGTCTCACTCGTTGCCAGCGGTAGCCTAGCGCGTATAAGAGTGTCCCGCTGCCGGCCACCCCACTCACGCTTCCTAGTAGCTCCACCCAAGGACGACATTAATGCCCGCAGTGTACATACATACTGTGATGTGAATTTCGGAAATTCAGTCACAAAGATTGCCAGGAGTAGGGAAAAGACAAAATCCACCTGCAATGATTCTCCAAACGTCTATCACCCGACATTCCAAAGACGGCTTTGCTTGTCTTGTTTATCGTTTATGCACTCTGTTTCCGCCTATCGTCCTTCCTACTTATTTCGGTTCCTCTTTTCTGCTTTTCATTTTTATTTTATTTTTTTGGAACTTTCGTATTCGCACTTGCTTACCTTTTCTACCGTCCTGGGCAAATCTACGTCTACAACACGAGCACGAAGCGGACCGCCAACGATAATTCCTGAGTTACCGGACGAGCGACCGACAGAGGCTGGACCAAACTGCTGTTTGTTCCGGAGGACTTCCGTGGAGCCAGGGAGACCCGGGATGGGATCCCTCCAATACTTCTGCCGGCTGTCCATACGGGCCGCCAAAAAGAGCCTTCGTCACTCGTGCCGCCGATAGGAGGAAAGGATAATCCTCTATCGTGCCGCCCAGTCGCCGAACGTTTCTTGGCGCTCCTGTTATCAGTGGCCCCCGGAGAAAAAACCGGGGCCCACTCTTCGCTGGATTCTGCTGCTCGCACCGAGGACTCACGATCGGCCGCACTAAGGACACTTGCACTCAGCTCGGCCCTCTCCGCCTATCTTCGGACTTTAGCCGCCTAATGCTTCGTCTCTGGCTACCGTCAAGCGTTAGATTTACCTATTTCGTATTATTATATTTTGCTATCACTCTACCGTGCGAATTAGGAATTAATAATTTAAGGAGGGGGGCCCCTAGGGCTCTTCCTCTAGCGACGAATTCCGGTTCGTTCACTTACGTGTGGAGCATCTCAGCTAGTGGTTGCGACACATAATAGTAACAGTGAACAAAGAGTAGCCGATTCCCAAGTGATCTTGCGCTAGAATTGAAGGAAGGAAGTCTCTGGGCTTGCCTTATCCGACCTTGCTATCGTCGAGGATAAAGTAATTGAAGGAAGGAAGTCTGAGAGCTCATTTTGTCGATCTCGTATCTTCTATATCTTTGGTGAGAACCTTCCGATACCGTTATTTAGGAGATTTGTTATGAATATTATCTGAAATCATAACCGTCTAGGCTCTTTGTCTCGACGGCAATTTTCTCGCTTACCGGGACTGAATGTCATTCCAGTCCCTCTAAGTAAAAGAACGATAGTGCCGGATACCGTTTATTTTATTTAGCTTTTCTTTTCTTATCGTAGAGTTATCTTTTATATCAAATGTATTGTAATTAATTTCGCTTTGCTGTAAGCTTGATGTTTTGGAATTGTCGAATAGTTTCTAAGTTGCCGATTATCTTCTCGACCACGTGGAAACACATATGGTCCCGGTGTCTCCGGCTTAGCCGTTTCCCCGTTGAGCTTGTCTTGTCGTTTTAATTGAATATCTTTTTGGCTTTTCTATCTTTTCCGGCGTTATACATATGTCGCTTTATTATATTGAATTTTGACTCTGAATATTTCTTTTCTCTGCCATATATCGTTCACTTATTTTTCGCTTTCGTTATCAGGAATGGCATCCTCCTCTTCAATCAATTAATATTTCAACTTTTGGAAACCCTTAATTACCGTCTTATTATAATATTTTTCGATACCTTACGCTGTTGGTCGAACGTAGAGTCACCTTCTTCTTGTGAGTAATCGCCTGATTCGAGAATAAAGGACGCACTGCCTATCAGTGGCGTACATACCTAGTAATAATTTATTTTTGCTGATTAAAACTATTCTTGTGATAATTTTATTGGATCTTGCCATTTCTTTTGACTATTTTATATTAATTGTACTGCCTGTGATAATTTATTTGCGTGTATATTATATCTGTGTGTTAATCGCCATATTCATATCTCACATTTTCTGACTCTTTCCAATTGCCAAAATATTTCGCGAGTGAATTTATTTCTTATTCGCGTACTGATTCGAATTTACAATATTTCTTCTCGCGATTATTCAGTATTCTCCTATTTATTGAGATATCGCCTAGTACCTTTTGCATCGGCGCGGATTCGTCCTGCTGCTGTATCGTAACGTCAACAGGGCCATCGTCCCTCGCTAATTCCGCGTTTCGTTTTAAGATTTTTAGTTTATATAGAATCTCTCAAGAGCCTATCGCTTTGTAAAATTACTCTAAAAGGATTTTGTTATCTTGTTTCGCTTTCGCACCTTAGTGAATCTCACTTTCTTGTATAGAATTCTATCAACCCGTTTTCCGTATCGCTTCGAAATTGATTTTATTTTTTCTGCTTTAAAAATGCTGTAGTTTGCTGAATGGCTTGTATGTCGCTTTCTTGCTTTTTTTAAATATAGCTTCAGTGCGTTAAACTTACTTATTTTTCTCTGCTATCTTTCTTTTACCTATTCTCTTTATCTGATACCTATTCCTTCTCCCGCCTAGTCTCTTGAACGCCACGACGCTCTCCCAGGTGAACTAGCCTCTGAACCGGGTATATTTTTTGGAGATCTCGTCGACCGCTTGATTCTCTCTCTCTCTCGCTTCGTTTTTTTCTTCCTTTTCTTATTGCTTTCTCTTTTCTCTTAGCGGTGTCGCCGTTTGTGAATCTGTCCTTTTACGTTCTTGGCGGA